TGAGTATTTAAATATATCATATATTATTTTTATTTTAATTAATATTAAATTTTATATAATTTATGTAAAAATATATTAAAATTTTATATCAACATTTAACTAAATGTTTACACTGTGGAAACTAGCTTCGGTTTATACGTGATGCACTCACTGGGAGGTTTCTTGTATTTTTCAATCGACTAGGTTTACATTCTAGTATGAAAAGTGATTTAATATGACTTGAGGAATGATTTAATATGAAAAGTGAAGAAACAATTATAGTATACATGATGTATTAAGTTAATTTCACTTGAGGAAATTTTTTACAGTCAACTACATTAATCTTAAATGTTCCTTTTAACCGTAATTTTTTCCCTTTGAACTTTTAATCAAAGAAAATATATCTATAAATATATCACTTATAAGAGATCAAATACAAAATCTACTTGAACATTCAATTTTCAATAGCTTACAAAAACAAATATCATAAATTCAGTGCTTCTAATTTTTCATATCAATGATTAATTTTTCATTGTTTTATTCTTTCGATTTACGAACATCACCTATAAAACCTCAATAGATTGTGTCAAATTGACAACCTTTAAAACCTCAAAGAGAACATTCGAAGTCTAGTATGCTTTTGTGAGTTGTGCCCTACAAAGGAACAAAATATTTGCTGTCAAATAACAAACTATAACAATTTCCACAATAATCCATTTCAATCCCATTGTAATGCAATTGCTTGTGTGTGTGTATATAAGCTATAACAGAAATTCAAATGCATATTGAACAGGCTACATTTAAGCAATAACATCATTCATACTAAGCTACCGTAAATATCGATTCAAGATTATCCTTTGTTTTCTCAATTCATAGGAAAACATAAACGACATAACAATCACATTTAAGGTCAAATTATAAAAGAGTTGATCAATTGTGGCACAACTTAATCAGTCAAAGCCTCTAAAGGACCGACCACCACAATCCGAGAGGTCCGTCACATCGAAAATGAGTTTTCATAAGATTCTAGATCAAGAGTTTCTCAATAGCATCCTACATTTAACAAATAGAAAAACAGAAGATGCAGATGCAGAAGCAGATTCAGCCAAAAAGGGTGCAAAATATCATTAATTTTACAATGTAACAAAAGATTTTGCTTAGAAAATGAGTTGTTGTATTTGGGATTTCAATTGGCTTCCTTCATTTGTTGTGCCAGAACAGGAAATTACAGGTCTTGTGACCCCACATGCTCGTCCAAGTGCTTGCTTTGAAGGAACAAATACATAGGGGACATTCTGCAAAAAATCAAATACAAAGTAAACAATTGTGCTCAAAATCTAGGTAATGAATCAAGGTGTTGTAGCTAAGATTTTGCTTCTATGATGAACTACTTTAAATTGAGAAGTCAAGATGATGTGTTATAGGAATGCTTCCAAGCTCAAGATTGGGAAACAATTTACATTAAACAAAGTGTATAACCTTAAGTCAAAAATGCTTCAAATTCATAGCTAGTGAGTACACTATTGATTTGAAGCAATAAAATCAGACACCCCAAAAGATAATTAGTCAAACCCTAAACCCAAAGCTAAATATTACAACAGTGATACGACTAATTAAAACGTTAAAGTTGGGGCGTAGAACAACAGATACAACAACCATAAACACATCAACAACAAATACATATACCACTCATAAGTACTAAACAAAAGAGGAGAAAACACCAAAACTGTGAAGATCATATGTCTTCATATAGTCACCCAACTTGTAAATTACAGTTGAGTTTGGCAACTAGAAGCAAGTTTGCATCTTGATATGATAGTTTTCCCACATTATTATGTGAGGTACACAATTCAAATAGTGCAGGCAAAGCATAAACTTATATTCCATCCCATTCAATCAAGCAATTTCAACCTGCCTAACTTTGCATCCACATAAATTTTAAAACAACTAAAATACCACTTAGAAATAACTTTTCCTAGTGTAAACCCACATATTAAACAAGAATTAAGCAATCAAAAAGTCCATACTAGAAAAAACAAAAACAAAAATATACATATTCCATAGAACAATTACCTTATCTTCAGCAAGCAAAGGAAGGTGGAGTATAATCTCAAGGGGCTCAGTATCCGCAGCCATCACAACGAACTCTGAGATACCTCTGTTCAGGGTCTTGGTAGCTGAATCCCAAACAAATCCAATTAAAAAAGAAAAAGAAATGAAGAAAAAGATCAGGAGAAAGAAAACCCATATCGGAAACGATAACAATAATTACAATAAACGAAAAAAATGGAAATGGGTATTGTTTACTAACCTTCATTAACTCCCTTTTTGAGTTGCTTGTAGTTTGCAGCTTGTTGTACACGATCTAAAATCGTCGTGTCAACTGAGCATCCGCTAGTGCGTATGCTTTGGGGTTCACTCCAGTCTGCAAAAAATATAATCCAATTGTAAGGTATAATGCATAGATAAAACTACACGAGCTTAAAAAAATAAGTGAGAACCATTACCATTTTTCTCTTGGAGAAAACAGAGGAAAACAATCTGAGAAGAAGGGACAGGGTATTTCCTCCAAACTACGCTCGGTCATAACCAAGAAGGAGAAGGGTACTTTAGACAAGAGAACCGGGAATAAGCAAATACCTAAGAGAGATGGGGGTATAACATTCCCAGGAAAGTAAGGAAAAAAATCATTGTTGGTAATTATTATTTCCCTATACTTGGGAATGTAGTCCATCCAAACATGGGTATGTTTACCCGGAAAAAAAGATTACCAACAGGAATTAAATATGACCTGAACCAAACAGGGCCTTATAGCGTCTTGAGGGAATCGATCCAAACCTCAAAATGTATCACATTTTTTATTAATTTAAGAGTGATTATAAAATGATATATATTTAAAATACTTTTAATCATTTAATAACAAAGGCTCAAAAATCTTTGTAGAGGTAAAGGTTATGCTTCAATCACTAATTTACCCCGTACTTTAACATAGTTTCAAGATGGTGATAAAATATAACTTAAATAAAAAATATTACGCGAAAGATTATCTTTAACAGAATATATCATTTCTTGCTACGAAGCCCAAAAAAGAGTTGTGGATACCGCTATATGAACATCAGATGTTGAATATCTTACTCGTAAATTTATTGAAGTAGTTCAACACATGGTTGTACGTAGAACAGATTGTGGCACCACCCAAGGATTTTTTGTGAGTCCTCAAAAGAGGATGCTTTTAGAAATAATTTTTATCCAAACATTAATTGGTAATGTATTAGCAGACATTTGAAATCAAGATATTGGGCTTGGGCTTATCGATCGATTCAGAGCCTTTTGAACGCATATAATATGTATTCAAACTCCCTTTACTTGAAGGAGTACATCTTGGATTTGTCGATTATGTTATGGTCAGAGTCCCACTCGGGAGCCCCTTTTAATATAAAAATAAAATTCAATGAGGATTTGGAATATTGAATTATCTTAGAAAATTATAGATCAACAATAATTAGATGAGGCTCTTGGCAAATAGAAATAATCTTTGTTAGAGAAGGCATTTGGGATTTAAGGTTAGTCTTTTTTACTATTATTTATATTTTTAATTTATTCTTATGTGTAATTTATTATTATATTTAAAAACATATTTTGTTATGTCATGTTATAATACCATTAAAAAGTTAACTACATAGTGATAAAAATGTATGGAGTTCAGTTATTAAATTTAAAATGTGTAAACTTTAATGACTAAAACAAGAGTGATAAAAACGTTGAGTGATAATTTGCGTACTTTACTCATATATGTATTATTTTGTTCTCGGCTGCACGTTTATGTGATAGCTCTGTTGAACGGTAGTCTAATATAATGTTAAGAAAAGGCGCTACCGGAAATGTTAATATTTTTTTAACATTTTCGGTAGAGCATTACTTAAAATATTATTTTTTTTCTTTCGGAAATGTTAATTTCGCTACCTAAAATGAATATTTCCGACATTAACATTTCCGATAGAAAAAATAACATTTTAGATAGTACCCGTAATCAATATTTCCGATAGAAAAATAACATTTTAAGTAGCGTTCTACCGAAAATATTAAAAAAATATTAACATTTCAGATAACACTTTTCCTTAACCTTATACTAGGCGGTCTTTCCTTATAGATCCCCACGTTTATTTCCCTTTTCAATGAGGTAAATCATATGTTTCTTCTTCTTCACGAATCCCTTTTTTTAACGTTTTCAATCAATTGGATTGTTTAGTTGATTATTCGACTATAGATAAGCCGGCCAGTCTGAGCTATGCTCAAGTTCTGCTGCTTTTCTCATTTGATTCTTCAATCTCTTTTTGGTTTTTTTAATATCCAGAAGCCTAAAATCTTGACTGTGATTTTGACTCATTTCACTTCAATTCCTGATTTTGTTTCAGCTTTTATTTACAGTTTGATCTATTTATAGGGGTTATTATGTTAGCTAATCCCATTTCCATGAATTTTAATCTGAACTGCATATTTAGAATCATCATTTACCTTTACTTTTCAGATTATAGTTTCCTTGAATATTTTGATTTATAGTATGAAACTTGTTTTAGTTAGATGAGGAAATTGTAGCTAAAACAGAATTGCTGTTAGATCGAAGGATGATCTCCTAGTTGCTTAAATTGAACCATGAAAGTTTACCTTTAGAAGCTTTGGAATCCTATGTGAATTATTCATTAAAAAAATCTTACATATACAAGTTGGATTACTCAATGTGAACCCCATCCAACTATCATAAAAGGATAATTACTTTGGTCCAAAAATTAGACTATATATTAATTTGGTCAAATAAAAACGAAAAAGAAATTAGGGTTGGACTAATACCTGACTGTTGTGGTTTTTAGGACTAATTTCAGCGTTTTTTCTCTATAAAAAAGTTAAAAAGGGATTACCTAAGGGATGACAATAATAAGAATAGATGACATGCATAGTGGTGTAACCAAGTTGACAATTCAACAGAAATACTTGTAATGCCCGCCTGCTAAATCTTTTATAGTTACTGTCTTTTTGTGTTGTGCTCTAACAAGAAAAGCCTTGGCTCATTAACAAAAGAAAAAACTGGAAGGGATCAAAAGATGGCTGAGCAGCACAACACTGTTGAAATTCCTAGAGTGAAACTGGGAACTCAAGGACTTGAGGTTAGATTTTGCTCTTCTTATTGTAGTAGTTAAGTTAAAAGCTGTTTCTGAGTTGCATATAGGCCCTGAACTCGTCATTCTTGCATCAGTTCCACTGTTTTTGGTTCAACTAATGATTTGCAAACTGTAGAATTTCTGATTAAGATACATGATTTTCTTTGGTAGGTTTCAAAGTTGGGGTTTGGTTGTGTGGGGCTTACTGGAGGTTACAATGACCACGTCCCTGAAGATGTTGGCATATCGATTATCAAGCACGCATTCGATCGAGGAATCACTTTCTTTGATACATCAGATATCTATGGACCCAAAACTAATGAAATTTTGATTGGAAAGGTGAACATGCTTGGACAAACTCCTTGTATTCTCAACCTCAATTGCAACAGCTTCCTGGTTTTGCTTGTCACTCTGATATGATTTTATGCTTTTATTATTGTTCTTTATTTTTAAGGGAACTTATGTATCTGTGAAACAAATATCATTTTCCAGGCATTGAAGCAATTACCAAGAGAGAAGGTACAATTAGCAACAAAGTTTGGTTTTGAAAAAATTGATCTAACCGGTATCATAATAAACGGTACTCCCGAATATGTCCGTTCTGCAATCAAGGCTAGCCTGAAGCGCCTGGATGTGGATTATATTGATCTCTACTACCAGCACAGAGTTGACACCAATACTCCTATAGAGGATACTGTAAGTGCTGCAATCATCATAGATTCATAATACCAAGTCATTATTTTTAATTGGTTGAAATTTCTGTCTTCAGATGTCTGAACTAAAAAAGTTGGTGCAAGAGGGGAAAATAAAGTACATAGGCTTATCTGAAGCTAGCCCTGAAACCATAAAGAGAGCACACACGGTTCATCCGATAACTGCTTTGCAGATGGAGTGGTCGCTGTGGACTCGTGATATCGAGGAACAAATAGTCCCCCTTTGCAGGTTTATTCATGTATCTTGAATCATCGGAATTGAAAAAAGACTAGTGAACATCAAATTCAAACTCTAGCCATACTACTAGTCTTTTTTCATTTCCCAGGTTTGAGACTCAATAAACTCATGCAATCAACCATTACTCCTTTCAATGTCTATCTAAATGCGTTCATCCATGCAGGGACCTTGGAATTGGGATTGTTCCATATAGCCCTCTCGGTCGCGGTTTCTTTGGCGGCAAAGCAGTGGTGGAAACCTTGCCTGCAAATAGTTTTCTGGTATGGGAACTGCCTCATTTATGTCTTTAACCTATCTTTAATCTTTGTATGGTAAACTGATTGCGAACATCTACTTTTAAGAAACGTTTACCAAGGTTTCAAGGAGAGAACTTGGACAAAAACAAGACCTTATATTTGAAAACCGAGAAGTTGGCTGAGAAGCATGGATGTACCCCTGCACAATTAGCACTTGCTTGGGTTCTTCATCAAGGGGACGATGTAGCACCGATTCCCGGTGAGTCACTTCCGTAACTTCTTGATAGCCTGCTGATATTTCAACTAAAATCCCCAGCAGAAGTAATACTATTGGCCTGAATCTTCGCACCAAAATTTTCCTTGAATAATAGCAGTAGGACCAGAGTTTTGACCCCTTTTTTCACTTTGGTTTGTAGGTACAACCAAGATCAAGAATCTTGATAGTAACGTTGATTCACTAAAAGTAAAGCTCACCAAAAAAGATTTGAAAGAAATCTCCGATGCGGTTCCGATAAATGAGGTGGCAGGTGATCGTTTTTCAGAGGGCTTTAGTCGATTAGCCTGGAAGGTCGGTAATACACCACCAAAGGAGAGCAAGGTTTCAACTTGAAATAGCCATGGATGCAAGTCTGCAGCAAGATATAAGGTTTTGCGTGAATGGACCCTCCAACAACTGAAACTAATGAAAAAGTAGAAATTTGTATAATGATTTAGTACGTCTTGATTACATTAGTGAAGGGTTTGGTGAGAGAAGAATCATTCATTACCAAAATAAAAACAAATAAGCAGCTTTGTACGACTTTGTTATATGTGATTTGTAGATACTAATCCTCCAAGATAAAGAACCACTTTCTTATTATAGTATATCAAATTTAAATTATGATAGGTATATATCACCTAGAGTTTAATTTAATAATGGGTAAACTATATTAGTGACCACCCAACTAGAGCGTCTTTTTATTTTAACCACCATTTTTGAATTCTTATCAATCAGGTCACCCAACTATTTAAATGCATTCAATCATGCCACTAACATTTAACATTTAACGGAAGGATTGACTTCGCAGTTAATAAAATTGGTATAATTACACATTCGATCCTCAATATTTATATCTTCTATTAATTTGGTCATAAGTTTAATTTAATAAGATTTAATCTCCAATTAGATGGCAACATGTGTCCCAATGAGATTGGAATATTTTATTAATTTTAATTATTTAATTTATTTTATTTTGAGTCCAATCAGGTGGTGACACGTGTCACCACTTTTTTTAAGGCAAAACATTGAAAATTGCTTATTTTATTTGGAAAGTAAAGCGAATTGAAGAAGATTTGAAAGAAGTTTCGGATGAGGTTCTGATAAACGTGGTGGCAGGTGATCTTATGTCAATGCCACTGAAAGTTTGGTAATATACCACAACCAAAGGGGAGGGAGGCTTCAACTTGAAATAGCCATGGATGCAAAGTCTGCATCAATATATAAGGTTTTGGATGAATGGAGTACACCCCAACGACTGGAACTATTGAAAAACGACAAATTTGAATCAAGGATTTAAAAGGCTTTGGTTACATTAGTGAAGGGTTCAATGAGAGCAGAAGCCTGCATCACCAAAATTAAGTTTACACAAATCAACGTGAAAATTCAAAGAAAGATAAGAACAGTTTAAATCATGGCTAAACCAAACTTTGTGGTTAATTGTACCTTCCTTCTTGGTAATTGCTTCAGTTGCTGCAAAATATATATAGTTGTTTCACAGATGCATAAGTTCCTTTAACAAGAAAAGAACAATAATAAAAGCATAAAATCACATCAGAGTGACAAGAAAAACCAGGAAGCAGTTGCAATTGAGGTAGCAAATATGAAGAGTTTGTCCGAACATGTTTACCTTTCCAATCAAAATTTCATTAGTTTTGGGTCCATAGATATCTGATGTATCAAAGAAAGTGATTCGTCGATCGAATGCGTGCTTGATAATCGATAATGTCGACATCTTCAGGGACAGGGACGTAACGCCTCGATTTCCAGATTATTAGTTTTGGGTAAATCCAAGTGAGTTTTATATAGGCCAAGAAACTATTTAAAAGTGTTGGTTAAGTTTTGTCTTGTTAGGTTTGGACTTGAGCCCATTAAAGCACAAAAATGGGTGTTTTTGATGTGTGCAAGAAATGAGGACTAGGAGAGCAAATTGTCCTAAATTGTTTCAAGGCTGAGAATTTTTATTACAATGAGGTCATACGGGCAGATGTTCTCTTACCTCTTTTTCTCCATCATTTGTCTTCTATCTCTTCCCTTTCAAACTCCATTCTCCAACTTCTCTCTTGTAGTTGGCAAAGGTGATAACTTTGTAAGGCTTTTCTTACTAATCCAAGAAGCTAAGGTAATAAATGAAATCCTCATTCTTCTAGTTTCCCCCAAACTCATTCTTTTAGGTTTTGGCCATGAAAAGCCTTTAATGGAGGTTTAAGGTGGGTTTTGAGTTTTAGGGTTCCTTAGCATTGCTAACTATTTTTAGATATTAGAAGTCATGTTTGTAGCTAAAACTTTAGCCCCCTAGATGAGTTGGCAACTCATTTCATTGCTTGTGATTAGTGAAAAAGTGAGGGAAATCTCAAGGGCAAAGGCAAGGAAAAGCTTGTTCTCGAGTGAACATAAGGTGTTAAATTGTAACTTAAGACTAAGGTAACACACCTATGACTCTCTTATACCATATAGATCATTTCTTGTGTTTGTGACAAGCGTCGTTTTATTGTCAAATAAAATTCCTTAATATCAAATAAAAGAAATAAAAATAGCATAGTATAGAAGAAGGGTCGATCCATAGGGACTTTGGAGCGGCTAATATAGAAGGCTTTTGATTCTGATGTGGGCGGAAAATGATAAGTAATGGGGGTTTGTTTGAAAGGAAACGAATGTAAAAGTAAAATGAAGAATTAAATCCAAGTAATTTAAAGATAAAGTAAAAAAAAATCAAGATGAAAATTTAATATGTTAAAAACATTCTCAGGCTTCGCTTTGCCTCAATTCCAATTGATCATTGAATAAGATTTTTACTTCGGATTAATGTTGGTTACAATCTACAAGGCCCAACCCTTTTAACTTATTTTTCGCTCAAGTAAACCGACAATACAAAATCAATCTTTGGATCACAGTCCTTATTTGGACTAACCACGACTATAGTCGCTAGTGCCAACTCAGTTTAAAAATTGGAAAAACTCGACTCGAGCTATGTTGTCTAAATGAGAATCGAACCACTAAATGTGTTCCCAAGAAGTCAAACTTGCTACCAGTCGATTCTCCCTCCCAACATTAAATCAAAACAACAATCAAATCAACATGCACTTTTTGAAAAGAAAGTGTTTTGATTTAAGGAAAAGTCGATTGTCAATCTAAGTTAGTAGAAAATTGAGAATGGAACCCGCATATATTAAGTGCTTTTCAATTCTCACAATCATAATTGAGCCATTTCTTCAACCTTTGGCTTATGGAAAATTAGCTAAGTATGATAGAAATCATACTTATCATATTTTTAAAGAAAAGAAAAATAAACTTAAAAGTAAAACACAAAATAAAAAAGAAAAGAAGAAAACTTTTATAAAACTATAGAGCAAATAATAAAGCTAAATTGAGATATTATTGAAGCTTTACCTTTAGAGGGTATTTATAGCTTTCTAAACCCTAAAAATGAAGTAAAAATAACTAAGGACAAATCCTAAAAATATTTAAATAAATTCCTAAAAACAAATAACAATTCTTAATTCAAATTTAAACTTAATCCTAATTATATGCCCATCCTTCTACAATGTTGATTGGACCTTATAGAAGCTGTCATATCACACATCATCATGTCAAAAGTCATGCCCACTAATCCAGCTTTGACTTCATAAAATAAAAACTACAGAATTTCTCATGTTTAGCACTATTTCTCGAATTCAATGTCCTTCATCGAAAATGAATAAAAATGCATCAAATTAGTAATATCAATAAGATTACAAGGAGTAATTAACAGTAAAATAGTAACGAAATAAAAACACTTATCAGTTTGCTTGCTTATGTGGGTTCATTGAGCATGTTGTGTACATTTTGTTTGATTATGGCTTTAGGTGTTTTTGAGGTGTATGAAGCGTGTTGACATAATAAGATCCCTTATAACTTCTATAAGCTCCACGTAACATTTAATAACCTTAGAAGGGTAAATGGTTGGGTTTGGGTTGTATTTTCGTGGAAAATAAGGGTTTTTTGGGCTCCAGTATCGATGCTGGATGAACAGTGTCGAAATTGTTCTTCGTATAGTTTAAAACAAAGATGTTTTGAGCTGAGAGTATCGATAATCGTACATGTGGTATCAATATTGTTCTACAAGTATCAATACTGTCTTAGCCATGCAAATTCCAGTAGTCATTATCGATATCGATACTCATAGGAGTATTGATACCCTACCTATAGTATCGATACTCTCTATAAGAGTATCGCTACTGAGGGATTTTTCCAAACATCAAAACCATTTTTGGTACTCAGGGTTGAAAACGACATGCAACATAAATGTTGAAAATCAAGTCAAATTTGGCTATAGCAGCCAGCTGCTTTTGAAAATTAAATAGCATGCTATTTTGGTTCAAATTGGGCAGCTAAAATGGTTGAAAATTAGCAAGGTATAACTACACATTTAATCATTGTATTTTAGGGTATTTACAAATTAGTCCTTAAGTTTCAACTATAAATACCCTAGCTCATTTAGCTTTAAAACCATCCCAAAGCATTCTAGCTTTCTTCCAATACTAGAGAGAATTTAGAGAGTTTCTTGAGAGTTGTTTTCTCCTTTTTTATCAAGAGAGAATTATCATTGTTTTATCCTTGGTAGATCGAGAGAAGTTGTAATTCCTATTTTCTCATAGTGAAATTCTTCTACCGTTACCCGTGGTTTTTACCCTATTTTATTTAGGGGTTTTCCACGTAAATTTTGTGTCTTCTTTATCTTCATTTTTATTTTCTCAAATTATCAGTTGCGATTTTGCTCTATCTGATAGCCGTCTTCCGCAATAATTGGTATCCGAGCTAGATTAGAGTGTGTAATATCTGCTTATTGTCTTTGTGGTTGCCACCAAAAGGTGGATCCTCCAACATAAGAAAATAAGAAGTTATTACCCATTCTTTGAAGGTTCCAGAGAACTATTCACGATAGTGAAATAGTGGGAGCTATCCGTAAAAGAAGCTATGGCAATGAAATTTGATATTGAAAAATTCAATGGGAGAAATTTCTCATTGTGGAAATTGAAGATAAAGGCCATCCTAAGGAAAGACGGGTGTCTAGCGGTGGATTTCGCAGATGACATCAAATGGAACGAGATGGATGGGAATGCTATGGCAAACTTTCATCTAGCATTAGCAGATGAAGTATTGTCAAAGTATCGAGGAGAAGAAGACAGCTAAGGAGATATGGGATCATCTCACCAAATTGTACGAGGCCACATCGCTGCACAATAAAATTTTCCTTAAGAGGAAATTGTACACTCTCCGTATGCCAGAAATCTACTTCAGTGACGGAGCACTTAAATACACTGAACACCTTATTTTCTCAGCTTACATCCTTAAGCTGTAAAATAGGAGAACAAGAACGTGCTGAACTT